CACATAAGAGAGATAGCCACCACTCGCCAGCAACAGTTACAAGATCGAGACCAGAATTTTCAGTACTTCAGAGAGCAAGTCCATGATTTGGTTGTTTATACTGCTTCAAAGTTATGTGAACTGCCAAGGGATGGATTATGAGAAGTTTTTGGAGCATGCGCCTACTTTTGACCGTCATCTTGCAGCAGAGTTAGAGAGGATGTACCGTACATTGGGGGTCAGCCAGGTCAAGCCCCACCATGAGCAGATATTCTAGTGGTTGAAAGCAAAAAGATTGTGGAGTTGAAGCATAATCGTAGTTGTTAGAACTTTTCATGTAGTAGTCATATTTTAGTTTGTCTTTTAAATCATTGTCTTTTAGTCTTGTCCGAGTCTGTTAAGCCATTTCAATGTAATGTCCTTTCTGTCATTGTATTGTTTCGTTTTGTTAAAAAAAACTATTATTGTTTTCCCCTGAACTACGTAATGGTCTGAGTCATGCGGCGTCATGATACGTAGGCAATCCCCATCGGATGCGGTCATAGCCATAATTAATCTGGAAAAAAAATTAAAATAATAATAAAAAAAGGGAAAGAAAAGAGAGCGTTAAATTCAAGATGAAAACAAACCAATAAACCAATAAGCCGGGATGAAGCATAAAGCCTTCCAAGCTCATTTTAGAAATGAAAATGGATTAGGTGCATGACATACAATGCGTGATTTAATATCTACAAAATGCCTAACTCTAACATGTTTGTTGTTTGTCAAAAAATAGAGATAAAGTTAAACAGAGGTGGTTGGTTTGTGGTTTAAACTGGCGACTCATCCTTACAACATGAGATCAAAAGGAAAAAGTAGAATGGCAAACAACAGTGAGAATGAGTCAGATAATGATGATGTCCATGGACAATTGGTCGAACAAGGTTCGGGACTGGTTGAAGAAGTAAAAGTGTTGAAACAACAATTGGCAGAGATGTACCAAGCTTGGGTGAATGGACAGGCACCGCCCCTACTACCCATAGGGCCTTCGGATAATTTTCATAATGTGTCAGTTGCAAATCAAGTGCCCATCTCCATAACAAGTAACCCATTGTACAAACTTGGATTCAGTCCAAGCATTAACCTTCCCACTATCCCCAGTACCTCCATTCCACGTCCTCCAACCGCACCCCTCAGAAATGACCCACATACTCTACCCATTGTCCCTACTTTCACCGTTCCTCAACTGGCTCTCCCTCAAAAGCTCAACAATGATCCACAACTGAATGCTCATGATGCCCAACATTACTCTCCAGAACTGATTGTCAAGGTTCCAGATTCATACAAGCATACTCCTCAGAACATGTTCCCAGTTGAGAACGAAAAGCCCGACAAGAATATGGAACAAGAGGAAATGACCAGAAAAATGAAGAGCTTGGAACAACCATGAGAAACATACAGGGTTTGGGAGGCCACAAGACTGTTTCGTTTAACGATCTATGCATGTTCCCCCATGTTCATTTGCCACCCCGCTTCAAAACCCCCAATTTTGACAAGTATGATGAGCATGGTGATCCCGTTGCCCATTTGAAGAGGTATTGTAACCAATTGAGAGGAGCAGGAGGCAAAGAAGAATTATTCATGGATTATTTTGGGGAAAGTTTGACAGGAATTGCTTCAGACTGGTTCATAGATCAAGACATCTCTCACTGGCACGTTTGGAACGACATGGCTCAAGATTTTGTCCAACAATTTCAGTACAATATCGATATAGTGCCTGACCGCTCCTCTCTCGTCAACATAAAGAAGAAACCAACAGAAAGCTTCAGAGAATATGCAATCAAATGGAGAGAGAAGGCTGCTCGGGTCAAACCACCAATGAAAGAGGCAGAAATGATTAACTATTTTCTCCAAGCTCAGGATCCTGATTACCTCCATTACATGTTGGCCGCCATTGGCAAACCTTTCGCTGAGGCGATTAAGATTGGTGAAATAGTTGAGAATTGCATGAAGTCGGGAAAAATTGTGAGTCAGGCAGCCCTTAAGGCGACCACGCATGCAATTCAAAGCGGGTCAGGCAGTTTCGGAAATCAAATAAAGAAGGAGGAAGGATCCATGATGGCATTTGGGTTCGGGGGAGTTCAAAGAATAATAGTTCCTTCTTACGTGCAACCCCAACAAGGACAATCCAATTCTCCTCAACATTACTATCCGCCTCAGGGTTCGTGGTATTCAGTTCCCCCACAACAGTACACAGTGTTTAATGCTCAGGCTTATGCTAGGCCTCCCAATCACCAACAATGGCGGGTACCGATTCCTCAAGGCTCCCGTCAAGTCCGGCCAAATTTTCAGGCGCCATATAATCCTCGTCCCCGACAGGAATATATGAGAGAACACGAGCCAAAGAAATAGTTCACCCCAATTGGAGAATTGTATACAGGCCTATTTCAAAAGTTGATGCAGTTGAAGTTGATTGAACCTATCATGCCGCATTATGTGAATCCAAATTCAAAAGGTTTTGACTCAAATGCAAGATGTGAGTATCACTCTAGCACCCAAGGTCATAGTACCGAAAATTGTTGGACATTAAAGAAAGCCATTGAAAATTTGATTGAAGCAAAGGAAATTATGGTAACAAACAATGAGGATACTCCTAATATCACAAACAATCCGCTCCCAGCTCATGATAATACATATTTTATTGGGATGATTTGTGATGATCGGGATTATAAGCAGTCTGGCAAGACAGGGATGGCTGTTGGAGCCATAGGGCAAGAGCCAGAAGTGATAGTAAGCCCGCTGCAATTGGCACCGTTGATTGTGAAAGGTGTGAGTTCTAGTTCGAACTTGGCAGGTTCTGAAGAAACGATTCTCTATGTCCCGGGAAGCACAAAAAAGGTTGAGGTTCAATTGGGTGGGCCAAAACTTTACATCCCTGGGGGCATTCAAAAGATTGTTCCGAATAATGGTTTGAGAAATATAACATAGCCAGTTGTGATCCGACCTATTGCACAATTCCTAGTGACAAATACAAAAGCTATTCCCTGAAATTATAACAAGACTGTCATGGCATACAAAGAAAAAGAGATAGTTGAAGAAGCAGATGAAATGGGGGGTTTGACCCGCTCTGGAAGGTGCTATTCACCAGAGGAATTGAGATAAGCTAAGCAAGCCAGGGAAAGTCACTTGCCAGTGAAAGAACCCGTTTTTGCAGAAAAAGAAGCAGAGGAATTCCTTAAGAAGATGAAAATGCAAGACTACTCAATCATTGGCCAACTAAGGAAAACCCCTGCTCAGATATCTTTGTTATCTCTGCTTTTGCACTCGGAAGAGCATCGCCGTGTGTTGATCAAAACTTTGAACGAGGCATATGTCTCAGAAAAGACAACGGTGAATCAGCTAGAAAAAATGGCTAAAAGATTCTTTGAAGTAAATAGAATTACTTTTAGCGATGATGATTTGCCTGAGGAAGGGGCTGGGCACAATAAAGCTTTGCATCTTATGGTCAAATGTGAAGGGCATTACGTAAAAAGAGTCATGATTGGCGGAGGCTCAAGTGTAGATGTATGCCCTCTTTCTACTCTACAACATTGAACATTGATACTAACAGAATTCGAACTAGTAATGTCAGCATCAGAGCTTTTGATGGTTCAAGAAGAGACACTATTGGGGAGATCGAACTCAGCATGACAATCGGCCCGACTGATTTTAACATTGTCTTTCAAGTGTTGGATATGAAAACTTCCTATAATTTTCTTCTGGGAAGGCCGTGGATCCATATGGCCAGAGCTGTACCATCCACCCTACATCAAATGGTCAAATTCGAGTATGACAGGCAAGAAATTCTTGTTCACGGGGAGGACGACTCATCCGTCTATAAAGACCCGTCGATTCCATGTATCGAGGCCAAGGAAGGATGGGAATACATCATATATCAAGCATTTGAGGTGATTGAGGTGGACCAAGTGGAAGAAGGAAAACCAATTCTGCTTCCCCATCTTTCAGCCACATCTATGATGGTAGCTTCGCTGATGTTGAGGAACGGCTATGAACCAGGAAAAGGATTAGGATCCTCTCTGTAGGGAATTGTGAACCCCATTGCCCCCTTTTCGAAGAAAGATACCTTTGGCTTGGGTTTTAAAGCAACATCAGCTGACATAAACAGAGCCAAGGCCCGCAAAAAGAATGGTTGGAATTTGTCCAAACCAATCCCTCACATTGCCTACTCTTTTTTCAAGCCACAATTTGAAGAAGTCCAGAATCATTCTACTCAGGATGACATTGATGAAGTTTGCCAGTGCCTCAAGGAGATGTTTTATGAGATCAATATGGTTCAAGTTGGTGGGGCCCCTAGCCGTGCAAGTGTTCAGCTGATTGGTCCAGATATCTTGCTCAACAATTGGGAAGCAACTCCTCTTCCCATCAGGAAGGAGTCTTGGTAGTCTGTTTTGTTGCTTTTTCTGTATTTGGATTATTTTCAGGGTTGTATCCGGATATTTTAGTTTAATTGCTTTGCTTTGATGTTAACCCTTCTATCCTTTCAAATTCAATGAAATGAAGTTCCAGTTTCATATTAGAATTCTGTCTTTTCCTTTCCCTAATTTTTGTTAATTTCTTATCATTTTCAGTTTCGTTAATGCTGGCTTTAAGAACATGACATGCACGCGGAATTTATGCCAGATCTTAAAAAGTTGTCTAATCTCGAAATAATGAATCAAGAAGTTGAGTATGTTGAAGATGAGGCTCTTAAGGAAATAAAAAGAGCACTGGATCAATTTGAGAATAAGCCTAAGCCTAACTTAAATAAAACTGAGGCAATTAACCTTGGAAGTCCTGAAGAAACCAGAGAAACAAAAATAAGCATTTATACTGAACAAAAGACGAGAGATGTCATAATTCAAGTTTTTTTCGAGTACAGAGATGTATTTGCTTGGTCGTATGATGACATGCCGGGTTTGAGTGCCGATTTAGTGGTCCATAAGCTTCCCACATATCCTAATTTTCCACCAATCCAGCAAAAATAAAGGAAGTTTAAGACAGACATGAGTGATAAGATTAAAGAAGAAATCACGAAGCAACTAAGTGCAAATGTAATCAGGGTCGTCCGATATACCACATGGTTAGCAAACTTTGTGCCAGTGCCAAAGAAGGATGGGAAAATCAGAGGTTGTGCTGACTATAGGGATTTAAAGAAAGCAAGTCCAAAAGAACAACTTTCCCTTACCCAACATTCATATCCTTGTTGACAATTGTGCTAAACATGAGATCTAATCTTTTGTGGATTGTTATGCCGGGTATCACCAAATTCTGATGGATGAAGAAGATGCAGAAAAGACCTCCTTCACCACTCCACGGGAAACTTATTGTTATAGAGGCATGCCATTTGGTTTGAAGAATTTAGGGGCAACTTACATGAGGGCCATGACTACCATATTCCATGACATGATGCATAAAGAGATTGAAGTGTACGTTGATGATGTGATCATTAAGTCCAGAACACAAGCTGATCATGTGTAAGACTTGAAAAAGTTCTTTGAAAGGTTACGAAGGTACAATCTCAAACTCAATCCAGCCAAATGTGCATTTGGAGTTCCTTCTGGGAAGCTTTTGGGTTTTATAGTTAGTCGAAAAGGCATTGAGTTAGATCCCTCCAAGATAAAGATCATTCGAGAGTTTTCTCCCCCGAAGAACAAAACAGAAGTCATGAGTTTACTCGGGAGGTTGAACTACATCAGCAGGTTCATCACGCAACTTACCACCACATGTGAGCCTATTTTCAAGTTATTGAAAAGAAATGCCGCTATCAAATGGACAGTTGAGTGCCAAGAAGCTTTTGACAAGATCAAGGAATATTTGTCAAATCCCCCTGTTTTTGGTCCCACCGGAACCTGGTAGGCCTCTATTTTTATATCTGTCAGTAATGGATAGTTCTTTGGTTGCGTTTTGGGTCAACATGATGCCACAAGCAAAAAGGAACAAGCAATCTATTATTTGAGCAAAAAGTTCACTACTTATGAGGCCAAATACACTCTTTTGGAAAGGACATATTGCGCTTTATCTTCGGTCGCCCAGAAGCTTAGGAATTATCTTTTGGCCTATACAACTTACCTCATATCCCGAATGGATCCCCTGAAGTACATCTTTCAGAAGCCGATGCCAACAGGCAGATTGGCAAAGTGGCAAATCTTGCTCATAGAGTTTGATATTGTTTGTGTCACTCGCAAGGTTAATTTAGTTGAAGAAGTAGCCCAAGATGACAGTCAAATTTGGAAACTATACTTTGATGGGGTTGTCAACATCAAAGGCGTAGGGATTAGGGCAATTCTTGTATCACCTATTGGGAAACATTACCCTGCCACGGCGCGACTTCATTTCTTCTGTACAAACAACACGATAGATATGAAGCTTGCATCATGGGTTTGAACATGGCAATAAACCTAAATGTGCATGAACTGTTGGTGATGGGAGATTCAGATTTGCTTATTCGGCAGGCTCAAGGTGATTGGGAGACTCGAGACATCAAGCTCATTCCATATAGACAATGTGTGGAGGATCTTAGCAAAAGGTTCAAGTCCATCGAGTTCAGGTATATTCCCAGGTTTCACAATGAATTAGCTGATGCCTTGGCCACCCTGGCCTCAATGCTTCCATATCCGGGTAATACTCACATTGACCCATTAGAAATTCAAATTCGGGATCAACATGGTTATTACAATGCAATTGAAGTAGAACCAGACGGTGAACCATGGTACCGTGATATTAAATAATTTCTAAAAACAAGAGAATATCCGTAACATGCTAATAGGGATCAAAAGAGAACTATTAGGCGACTCTCTAATGGTTTCTTTTTGAGTGGGGAAATCCTATATAAAAGGACTCCAGATTTGAATTTATCGAGATGTGTGGATGCCAAAGAAGCTGAAATGATTATGAATGAGGTGCATTCAGGAGTTTGTGATCCGCACATGAATGGATATGTTCTAGCAAAGAAAATCCTTCGGGCAGGATATTATTGGCTTACTATGGAGTGAGATTGCTTTCGTTTTGTTCGCAAGTGCCACCAGTGTCAGATTCACAGTGATTTGATTCACTCTCCTCCTTCAGAGTAATATCCTATGTCGGCTCCTTGGCCTTTTGTTGCTTGGGGAATGGACGTCATTGGCCCAATCGAGCCAAAAGCTTCAAATGGGCACAGATTCATTTTGGTTGCAATTGACTACTTCACCAAATGGGTGGAAGCTATTACATTGAAAGCAGTTACCAAGAAAGTAGTAGTAGACTTTGTTCACTCCAACATCATATGTCGTTTCGGTATTCCAAAAACCATTATTACAGATAATACTGCTAACTTGAATAGTCATCTGATGAAGGAGGTATGCGAATAATTTAAAATTGAGCATCGCAATTCTACTCCTTACCGGCCCAAAGCTAATGGAGTTGTTGAAGCTGCAAATAAGAACATCAAGAAGATTCTTAGGAAGATGGTCCAAGGGTCTAGACAATGGCACGAAAAATTGCCTTTTGCTCTTTTGGGATACCGGACAACTATCCGTACATCAGTTGGCACAACACCCTACTTATTGGTTTATGGCACTAAAGCGGTCATACCTGCCGAAGTTGAGATTCCCTCTCTCCGAATCATTGTTGAAGCAGAGATCGAGGACACTGACTGGGTCAAGTCCCGATTGGAAATGTTGAGTTTGATTGATGAAAAGCGTTTGGCGGCAGTTTGTTTTGGTCAGTTATACCAACAAAGAATGGAACGTGCTTACAATAAGAAAGTTCACCCAAGACAATTCGAAGTAGGACAACTTGTTTTGAAACGAATCTTTCCGCACCAGGAAGAAGCAAAAGGAAAGTTTGCCCCGAATTGGAAAGGTCCTTACCTCATCAAGAAAGTATTGTCAAAAGGAGCTCTACACTTGGCAGATATAGATGGAAAGGTGACAGACATATCCATCAATGCAGATGCGGTCAAGAGATACTATGTTTGACATACCTCTGTCGGGCATTTTTATACATAGTATTGTCAGGTTGGGATAACGAAAGGCTATCATTCTTGCTACCCAAACACTGGTCAACCCTAGTTAGCCCTTTGAAGCCTTGTTTATATTTCTTTGTTCTCACCTCTTTTGGAACCAATGTACCTAATCAAAAAAATAAAAAAAAATCAAAAAAAATAAGAAAGAAAGAAAGAAAAAATCATCAAAACAAGTTCATGTTAATTGAACTACGTCTGACCTAATTCCGAAAAGGATACGTAGGCAGCCTCACTCTGGGGTTCGGTCACACCAAAACAAAAACTCATACTTCCCCAGTATTCAAAGAAACTGGGGCATGATTTTATTTTATTTTCGACGGTTGTTCTGTCAAAATGGTTCCAAAAGTTGTAATTTAGTTTAATAGTTTTTTTTACCTATCCCTGTTAAGACCTTCTGATCAGCTTTTGAGAATGCTAAGTCAATATACTACGGTGATGCCTCAGCAATTGTAAAGAGAGAAAAATAAAATGAGAGAGTCTTATTGGTGAAAACCTTCACAGGCACTATAAGGTAATGGTGAGTTGAAAGAAAGACAAATGAGAGAGGTCAGTTGGTGAAAACCCATAAAGGGCATCATTGATCGATTTAGGTCTTCATATATCCTGGCACAAACATGGTTAAGACAAAGAACTCAATTTCAAAGTGAAGTTTACAACGAATTTTGAGAATTAGACGGTTCAAACGGATCGGGCATCTAGTCCAATGTGCATGTCATGTTCATTGAAGTCAGCATATTCCTCCAGATAAGTCCTTTCTTATTTTTTCCTCGGAAAGGGACACTTCTTGATTAAGTTGTAATACCTATTTTAGTTCATCTTCTTGTTTTCTTTTGCATTATTTTTTTAGTCCCTTTCAGTCTAATTTTGTCAAAGCAAAGCAAATAAAAGGCCGAAAAATTGGTTACAGTTTTCCTGTTATATGAAGCAAAAATGTCCGGGCATAAACAGTATGGCCAAAGGCATAAAGCCAACTTTGATATTCCCTGATGAGCAAAAGGCTTGAAGGACTGAGCAATATTTCAAGGGTCAACAAAAGTTACTCAGTTAAAAGTTGTTTTGGGGAGCAAGGTTGTTTGCACCATAAACACAAATGGTGATAGGTGCAAAATAGTCAGGTTTTGATGTTGAGAAAGAAGATCTCCAAAAAGTAAAGACCGAATCTCCCGGCAATTTGTACGACCATCGACAGAGTCAGTTTTTCTAACAAGTGTAATGGACTCAAGGCCAAGTCACCCAAGAAATCAAGGCCACAAACTGACCACCATTTAAAAACTAACCAATCTTTCATTGTTCAGAACAGGAACAAAACAATTTAAGGAAACAGTTCGTGGAAAGACGAACACCACCAAGTGAAGTTCTCAAATCCTTGATTTCCTTCCAATATACATGTAATCATGTTATTTTTAGTTTCATTATAGGGAATCAATATCCTATGTTCAACACAGGGTACTACATCCCCTGGTTGCATTTCTTATTGCCAACATAGGGTACGACATCCCCTGGTTGCATTTCTTATTGCCAACATAGGGTACGACATCCCCAAGTAGCATTTCAGAGTGCCACGAGCCTCATTTTATTGCAAAAATACGGTACAACATTCCCTAGTAGCATCCCGAGTACCACGAGCCTCGCCTTATTGCCAACACAGGGTACTACATCCCCTGGTCGCATTACTTTCTACCTACATAGGGTACAACATCCCCTAGTAGAATCTTAGAGAGCCAAAAGCCTCACTTTATTGTCAACACATGGTACTACATCCCCTGGTTGCATTTCTTATTGCCAACATAGGGTACGACATTCCCTAGTAGCATCTCAGAGTGCCACAAGCCTCATTTTATTGCCAACATAGGGTATGACATTCCGTAGTATCATCTTAGAGCTCCACGAGCCTCATTTTATTGCCAACATAGGGTACGACATTCCCTAGTAGCATCTCAGAGTGCCACGAGACTCATCTTATTCCCAACGCAGGGTATTACATCCCCTGGCTGCATTTTTTCTGCCAACATAGGGTACGACATTCCCTAGTAGCATCCTAGAGTGCCACGAGCCTCATCTTATTGTCAACACGGGGTACTACATCCCCTGGTTGCCTTCCTTCTTGTTAACACAGGTGCAAACTGGGGCAAAAAATTTTTGTTCGTTTTGTTTGTTTGTGATGGCTTGTAGGTTCTTTCGCAAAGCACGGATTTGTGTGCAAAAATAAGATTTCATTTCTTTCCAGAGAAAGTGGAACGTTTGATCTCAATACCAGCCGCAACAAGCTTTGACGTAATGCATGCGGAGACATATGGTCAGGATCCATCTTCCCATCATCTGATCAAGAAACAAGCTTGTGAGAATGTTTCATAGTCTGTTGCATCGAGAGCATCAAGTTTCAGTTTAAATTCAATGGGAGAAGCAAGTCAAAAATCAAGACAAGACTCCAGATGACATTTAGATAGGAATTTTGTAACTCTTAGATTTCAAGAGTATGTAATTTTCTTTTCATTTTGATGTAATAGTAGGAATCGCAGATCGGAACCTCGACGGAACTTTACTCGACTCTCCCTCTAAGAATACTCCATCACTCTTATTTCACTTGAACTACATGTGACCTGATTCCCTTATAACCCGGGATATGTAGGCTGCCTAAAGCCAAGGCTCAGTCGCAACCTCTTCTTTTATCTTCTTTTTCTTTTTTTAAATAATAATAGTGAGGTCAAAAATCAGTCACCTTGTTCATTTTCTTTGACTGAAAACTCTTCATGTTTCCAAGCAAAGAGGGGCATGCTGTGAACAACTAATTTTTGACCACACCTGAATTATATAATATATTAGTGTAAATATTTGTTCTAGATCTTATCGCTAT